GAAGTTATGAAATTGATTGAGTCTTTTGTTAAAATGTAAACTTTTTCCGCTCCAAGTTTAAATCCGAATAAGTCAACTTTAATGATTACTTTCAATTAATAATTTCTAATGTGAAAAATAGTTTAATTTGGCTAAATGCTACCGTGTTCTAATTTTAAAATGCGAAAATTTGTTCGTTGAGTTCCAAATGACATTGAATTTTTCTAGTAAGCATTTGTTAAGGTTAAAAATTATATTTTCTTTCTTTAATTTTTCTAATTTCAATTCTAAATCTGCTTAAATAATCACGTCAAGTAAAAGTTGGGTAAGTTCACATCACGTTATTTTTATTTATTTTTTAAAAATTATAAAAAAATTTAAAAGTTAAAAGAAACTAGGGAGTAAATATATTTAAAGGTTACCTTACCTAGCATTAATTGGAATAAATATCTTAAGATATTAGAAAAAATAATTTTGAAAAGTTGTTATCTCTAATTATTTAGCAGATATTATTCTAAATCTAAACCTCATAATCTCATAATTCAAATGGAAGCCTTACCCTAGTATTTCTATTTATATAGGAGCATAAGGGAGAATAGGAATCAAAAGTAGTTCTCAACGAAAGAGGGCAAGTGTGATGTGAGAAAGCAGAATACAAAAGGAAGGCATTTTTTAAAGGTAAATTAACATACTATCTTAAAATCTCCTCTGTTATAGCTCTGCAAGTTTTATCTTGAACGATTTTATATATTCATCATCTTGATCTATAGATTGATAAAACAATTTGTTTCTGTAGAAATTAATTGTTCCTAGCGACGTACGTGCGACATTGATGATATTTGCGAGGAAGATATATACCACAACAATGTGTGAGGAGGAGATAGAGGGAAATCATAATAATCCCATAAAAATGACCAAGTTTGAAAATCTTCCTGAACATCTCATCCACCACATCATGAACTTGCTGTCTCCCAAGGATGCGACGAAGTGTAGTGTTCTATCCAAAGCCTTCTATTCTTGGTGGCTTTCATTTCCTGTACTTGACTTTGACTGGCGGATTTTCTCTGAGGAAGACGACGACTCAGACGACAGATTCTTCTCTCTTATATCCAAAACCCTACAGCTTCGTTCTCCTCATATCAATAACCCTTTGCAAAAGCTTCGACTTGAATATTGTAAGTCGTTCAAGGTCCCATCCGACCCTTTCCCCTTCCAACCTGTGCTTGATACGTTGTTGAACTTTGCAATAGAGAAGAAAAGCAAAGAGATATATTTTGATATACCCAGGCCAGGCTTCATGAATGTGAGGTATGAGGCCCTTGTTGATCTCTTTTCGTTACAACCTTTGACTGTGCTCAAACTATCCGGATTGAAATTTCCAGTTCCTGATCCTATTATCCATTGCCCAAACTTGAAATCACTATTTATCATCTTTTGCAAAGGATTACGCACTCTAACAGTATCATCTTTGGGTGTGGACAAGGTTGAGGTCATGGCTTGTCCTGGGTTAGAAGTAGTTCGAGTACCCAAGGCAAAGAATCTATTCCAGTTCAGTTTGTATGGCTGTGACAGCGCTACCATCCCTCAGCAGCCACGTGACTTTGAACTTTTTGCTTGTGAATCCTTAAAACATATGTCTCTTTATGATGTAAAAGTCTCCAAGTATAACCTAACGGAACCAGTCACTGAGAGTTTGCACATTAGTTACTGTGACTTGCCTAAGAACTTTCGGATTCATTCCAAAGTTAAAGAGTTGAAGGTGAAGGAAAGCTATAATCTGGAGAACCTATTCCTCTCCACTCCCAATCTAGAGCGTTTTTGTTTCTCTTATAGCTACGGACATTATCCACGACAGAGATGTGGGATGAATATCTCAGCATGTGTGGCTCTAACTGTTGTGGAATTGAATGGAGTAGCCATAGCAGATGAGTGGCTGAAGAGTGTAATATCAGACTTGGGTTCTCTGAAAGAACTGAGAATATGTTCCTGCGGTGACTTAGAGAAGATGGATTTGAAACATGAGAAACTTCAGATATTGTCGTTGAGGAAGTGTTGTGATTTAAAAGAGGCAATTATTGATGCGCCAAATCTGCTCAAATTTGAGTATGAAGGAAGCACGCAGGTTTATCCACTCGCCATTTTATCAACCAATAAACGCTGCAGTGCCAACATTGTATTGCTACAATGCCGCATAAATCCTGTCTTATGGTTTGTTAACTTGAACCGATTTCTCTCTTGCTTTCATCACATCCAACACATCGCTATTACTTTTCCCAGAGCAAAGGTATTTCGTGAGTCTTTACTATATAATATACATATATATGTCTATTATTGTTTGACCTCTTATTGATAGGAAGGTTCTTGCATAGTTTATTGACAACTGAATTGCATATCTCACATTCATATAAGAAATAACTGAAATATGAGTACTGTGAACACATAAAATAAATCTCAGGTTAGGGTGTAAATCCACTCATAAAGTATTCTATCACGTGCAATACCAAACTTTTCTTGAGTGACACATGATGTATGTTTTCACAACAGTGCAAAAATGTGACGACAATAAACCAACTTACATTGATTGTTTAGCAAACATAAGAAAATAGTGTAAAAATACACATGAAGTTTCAAAAATAGTGCAAAAATACAAATGAACTTTCCAACAATCATGGCTTGTTTGTACTACTTTGAAAATTTCATGTGTAATTTTTATATCATTTTCTTGACCTACATATTTGCTAAACAGTCAATATTAATTGGCTTCACAATTGTGGCTTTTTTGCACCATTTTGAAAACTCAATGTATATTTTTGCACCCAAAAAAAGTTTATGTTTCTAGATGCCCATGACAAAATACTTTATGGGTAGATTTACATTTTAACCAAATAAATATCCTTTACAAGCCTGTTTTCACTCATATTTAATTAAAGTATTGAGTTGGTATGCTTTCATTTGGTTTAATTTTCAGGATTTCATCTTCCCAATAGAGCATTTGTCTGAAAAAAATCCATTTCCATTGCGGCAATCGAAGTATATAAAAGTTCAAACAAGGGATAAACCAGACAGTGAAACTGTAATGAAAATGATTGAAGTTTTGCTTTGGTTGGTGCCTAAACCCTTGCAATTGATGTTATCTATGCGTTACGAAGATTACGAATATCTCATTGGCACCTTGAAGGTATGTTTTATCGAACTTCTATTGTTACCTACTTAATTATGAGCCTTAAACATGATCATATTTTTATTGAGTGGGCATAATTAACTATTATATCATCTTCTTAATATAAGACTCAATTGACTAATTCAAAAAAACTAAGAAAGTTACTAAATTATTTTAAGCTATTTATATTGATCATTTTTCTCCAAACTAATTTGCTTCACTTATAAATTGATATATAATCTGATGATCCACATAAGTAATTTATTTTAAATAGATCATATAGCATATTTTATAATTAAGTAATTTAGTAATTTTCTTGATTTGCTTAGATCAATTAATTAGGTCTTATATTAAGGATAGGAAGTAGTATATCACTTTGCTTTTGTTACTAGAAAACTAGGGTACTAGACACCAATGAGAGTTGGTTGATAAGAATATATACAATCGTATCTCACAAGCGATTCATTATTAATTAAGTTCTACCCGAGCTGTAAATATATTCACTCTATTTTTTTTTCTTTTCATATTATATATCCAATGAAATGGATTTGAAAATTAATGTTGCAGTTTGAGTACGGTAAGGAAGCGAAGAAGAGGAAAGTGGAAGAGATATTTTGTTTTGGGGTTCCCACAAAGTGCTGGAGACACTATGAACTCGAAGTAGACATCCAAGGCTTCGACATATCTGAAAATAGGGGCTTGATAAAAAAGTTCTTCACTCCTTATATGCGTTGATTATGAGACTTAAAAAAGAGATTTAACTGTATGTGTTTTCTGAATTGACTTCATAATTAACTGTTTACTAGCTACGATTAATATAAATAGTTCGATTCTTACATACCCTATGCTTTGATAATGTCAATTGAAAGCAATATGTGAGAGTTTATTTTATTCTAACCATTTATGCATTCATTTTCAACGTATCTAGTTACTGTTAATTTTAATCCCAATATGAATGTAATTTATGGTACTTAAGTTAAATTGTTGTTTTTCCCCTATGCTTTTGTGTGGTATAATAGGAGCACATTACAATATTATCCGTGACAAGTTTAGTATAACGATTAAATTTTAGAAAATGAGTTTTCAAATTTAAACGAGGATTAATAATGTCACCTGGATCTCAATGACAGGTTCAGTATGATGAGTAATAACTCTGATTATAACTAACGATAATTATAATTTCAACAATGATAAGTATTTTTTTAAAAGGTAATGAGACAAAGATGAAACTGACTAAATGAACACTAACTTGAATATGAAAAAAAACAAAAGAAAACTTGCATTATTTTTTGTACTAAGATTATATATCAACTCACTTCGAGACCAAAACCGACACTTATTCTCCGCACACAATGTGTTACTTAATGTTATCTAGTTAGCTAGGAGGTTTATTTTGATCCTAATTGTAAAACATCAATTCGTCATTGTCTTATAAATTTATATTTTATTTTTGAACTATTCCTATTGATGATACATGTTAAGGATGTTTCAATCAATATATCTGTAATTCCAAAAAAATAATTAAAAAGAGTATTTTAGAAAAACTAACACATATTTTTTCCCAATAACTAATTTGACTAATTTTTTTAATTTATGTAAATTAATTATATGATTTCTACATTTAGTACCCGGTGGCTAATAAGGTAACATGCATTGCAAACAACATACTAGATGGTCAATGTATACAAAGACAAATTTTTTATAAAAAAAATTCATCATGGAATTTTGGTCGCAACTCAAATTTAGAACCATGGTCACTAAACTACTTAATCTAAGTTCAAGGAGAAGCCATTGGGCATTATATTAAGAGAAAAATTATGGGATAATCATATGTAACTTGACATTAATTTTTCTTTCGCATGTTTCAAATTAATTAATGGCTGCTCAAAAATTCACAAACCAAACGCTCTGAATCCTCCATCAACACAAATAATCTGTCCTGTTATGTAGGAGGCTGCTGGTAAGCCAAGGAATGCCGCCATGGAAGATACCTCGCTTGGCTCCCCAATCATTTGCAAAGGGGTTCTTGTAATGAAATCCTCAAGAAGCTTTTTATCCTTAAGAGCCTACAAATCACAAAACAATTCTTATTAAGAAGCACAAGTAAAGATATATGACAGTACAACTACAATGAATCATGCAATGCACAATAAGATCAAATATTTTGTCCCAACTTCTGATCCTTAATATAAGACCCAGTTGACTAATTTAGAGACATTAAGAAAGTTACTAATTAAATTACTTAATTATAAGGGAAAATTGCATTGAGGTCTCACAGAAGACAAAATACCACAAAAGGGTCCCTAAAAATCTGATAATTTCTCTAGAGTCCCAAAGAGATTTTTGACTGCAACGCTGACAAAGTTGAAAAAACCTTGTTCTCCCTAGTAACTTAGACAAAAAAGCACTAAAAAATAAGAGTTATCAATATAGGTCGTGATAATTGTCAATATTACTGTTTCACATGTTTGGAAAAATGTAATTTCGAGTTATATAATGACAAGTGATATTCACATATCATGCAGACTAACACTTTTTGATAATAATGTGATATAATATCATTACAAAAAGTCAAATATCACTCATGAAATAGTGAAGAGCTAGTCAATGACAAGTGGTTTTATAATTTCATATGAGAGATAATTGACTTTTAATAACTATATTATATCACATTATCATAAAAAAGTATTAGTTCGTAGGATGTGTTAATATTACTTGTCATTATGTAACTTGAAATCACATTTTTCCAAACTTATAACAGCAGATAAATTAACAAGTATAGTAGAAATATTGACAACTATCGTAACCTATATTTACAACTATCGAGGCCTATATTGAGAACTCTCTTTTTCAGCACTTTTTTTTTTTGTCTAAGTTACTAGAGGCAACAAGGTCTTTTCAAATTTTTCATTATTGCAGTTAAGTACCTTTGGGATTCTAGAGCAATTATTAGATTTTAAGGGATCTTTTTGTATTATTTTGTCTTCTATGGGACCTTAGTGTAATTTTTCCTAATTATAACATATTTTACAGACATCTCTAAAATACTTATGTGTATCATTAGATTATATATTAATTTATAAGTAAGGCAAATTAGCTTGGGAGAAAAGAATAAATATAAATACTTTAAAGTAATTGAGTAACTTCTTTAGTCTCCTCAAATTAGTCAACTGATCTTATATTAAGGACTAGAGATAGTATATAGAGAGACTTATTTTAATTCAAAATGTAAGACCTCAATCTATGTTATGTTTTGTACTTACGTGTATTATTAGATTATATATTAATTTATAAGTGAGGCAAATTAGCTTGGGAGAAAACAATAAATATAAATACTTTAAAGTAATTTAGTAACTTCTTTAGTCTCCCCAAATTAGTCAACTGAGTCTTATATTAAGGACCTAAGATAGTATATAGAGAGACTTATTTTAATTCAAAATGTAAGACCTCAATCTATGTTATATTTCTAATTTAAAATTTTTTTCTAAAACTCTCCCTATTAATTTCACATATCAAGGAATCAAGTTTTTATCAAATGAGAAGTTTCTAATATAAAATAATTAAAAAGGATATTTTAGTAAAACCAACACACATATTGTACAAATATATTAGCTCATTAATTTTTTTTAATCTCTGTAAATCAGTCATCTAACTTTTATGCTTAGGATCACAAGAAGAAAGTAAGAAATTAAAGATAGAGTAATTACTTGATTGGCACGAGATGTTTTAGTGGCACCTGGTGTAGCGCAATTAGTCCTAATATTGTCTTTTGCCCACTCACATACCAAGTTCCTGGTTAGTTGGTTTATTTCTCCTGCATTAATAATTAATTTCAAATTTTGTTAACAACAAAATTTCCCACCAATTCATCATTTTCTGTGTGTGTATATATGTATATCTTAAAGATTAAATAAAGGCAATTTTACCTTTTGTTGCACCATATATGGATATATCTCTTAAAGCTGACACACCAGCAATGAAGGATAAGAAAACAATGCTTGCAGCTTCTGGAGCTTTTAGAAGAGGATGTGCAAGTTGGCTCAAGTGGTAAGCAGATTCTAGATTTGTGCTAATAAAAAATGAGAAATCTTCTGCCGTATATTCCAATGTTTGTTTCCTTATATTTGTTCCCACGTTGTTTACCTATATTGAATAATAAGATATAAGTTTGGCAATATATATATGTATAAAGTGCCAAAGGCTATGTAGCTTAGTGGCATTGACACTCTGTTGTAAGTGAGAGATACTCTGTTGTAAGTGAGAGATTGCGAGTTCGATCCTGTTTGTAACCTCAAGCTATTATTGTCTACCCCTTTAGTGCAATATATATATATATAAAGTTTTAGATCCAAAATCTTTCCAAACCAAGTCCTCTCCCTTATCATTTTTCATAAGAAAATCACTGAGAAGCACTTTACTAAAGGGAGATTTTGGGCTTTTTTTCTAACATTTTGTTCATGAGAAAAGTATTTTTCTTTCTCTTTTATTATATTTTTTGTAGTGAGACTGGATCTAAAAAAAATTAAAAAAGCATCTTTATGAGATACAAATAACCAAATTACATAGATAAAGATCATTAAAATTAGTAAAAGACAACAAATATATAAAAATATAACTTGTTTTTTAAAAACACTTTTTTTATGGGGGAGAAAGAATGAGCAGATAGTATAATTAATACATTAAGATTGGCCAATAACTGAAGGGGAAAATTAGGAAACAATATTAAAAATTTCAAACAGACTGTGTCAGTGTCTGTTAAATATGGGAAAACGTCCTTCCAAAAAAGAAAAATTCTTATATATAAAATCGTGGGGAGTAGTTGCTTACAAGGATATTGAGTTTGCCATGAAATATAGAGGAGACCTTAGTTATGATGTCTTGTCTTTGTGCAGGGGACACTATGTCACAAACTGAACCAGTAGCTTGAAATCCCTTGGCTGTCCATTGTTGCAAGCATTCCTTAAGTTCAGACTCAGTCCTTGAGCAAGTATGTACACTAGCCCCTAGCTGTGCCAACTCCTCCACAATAGCATACCTAAAATTCATCATGAGAAGTTGAATTTAGTTAATAAGATTCAAATTAAATTATTGAAAACCAGACAAGTCATTAAACCAGTCAAAAAGAGTGGTTCAACTTTTAGTAGTTTAATTATGGTTGAACTGGGGTTTATCCAATCAATGTTAAAGTAAGATAATTAAATTACCTTAATCTTGAAAAGAGTAATATTTAAATAAAAAGACATTAATTCACAAATAAATAGAGCGTTCTATTCACGTATAAACCACAGATAATCCCACAAAACAGAGTTATTAAATAAAGTTTAAATATGGCAGGGCTGTCTTTTTTCTTTTTTCTTTTTTTCCCTTCCAACCTCAAAACCACGTCATCTCAGACTTAGCGAGAGGAGAAAAACAATTATAAAATTCAAACCGAATGTCCACGCAAAACTCTTGACCAGATTGTTTAAGGGACTGATTCATGATCAATTTGCTGATTTGACCAGTCTATTCGAGTTGGATTTTAAAACTACTCCTCTGGTAACTAATTTGATTAGATTAAAAAAGTTAGGTAAACTAGTTAATTATAAAAAAATATGACATATTTTTTCTAAAACTTCATAATTATTTTTTTTAATATCTTTTCTCCCTCACTTGATTATAGTTAAGAGAGTATCTATAGGGATAATTTAGAAAAAATTGATAAATATGAGAAATAAGATTTATATTTAGGATCAAAATTAATTTAACAAGTAGGTCCTAAATTAAGGAATGGAGGAGTATTATTTAAACAAATTAGTTTTACTTGCCAAGGTTTCCTAGCTCATGGATAATATATGCCTTGAGAAGCTTGAGGCCAAACTGTAAGGGAACTGCTTTGCCCCATAGCAAGGCATCAAGTGCGTACAAGTACTAATATATAATCTCAGTTCTAATTAGGAAACTTTAGACGCTCTCACTTCACCGGATATAAATTCAAGTTTTGATGCTGTGTTCATCTTGTGGGAAACTATGATGTGTGTGTGTGATGAAGGAATGAAGGGTCCGTTTGGATCAGCGATTGGAAAAGTAGCTTATTGAAAAAATAGCTTATAGAGAAGTGAAATTGGATAAAAGCTAAATTGGATAAGCTGAATTGTGTTTGGATTAGAGTTCAGAAAAGCTAGATTGCAAAAGTGAGATTGGTAAAAGGTTGTTTAGATTATGATTGAGCAAAAGTAAGTGTGGTTGTAAAATGACCAAAATAGATATGAGTTTTAATAAATAATGAAACACGATTAAAAAAATAATTTCACATAATACAATAAAATTAAAATAATTTAATATGAAGAAGTCATAAAAAATATTTTAAATATAGAGTGAAACATGAAAAAATAAAAGTATATTTTTAGGAGCATATTTAAAAATAAAAATATATTTCTAACTTATTCATTACTTTCAACTAATTTTAACTGATTTTTTATTATCTACAAATTAGTTATTTGAGACTTATAATAAGAACCAAAAGAGGTAATAAATTTCTTAACTTTTTCTCTCTCCATATTTCAAAAGCTATAAACCATAAGCTATAAGCCATAAGCTGTTAATTTTAGCTTATAGCTTATTGTAACTTTTCAGACAAAAACCCGATTGCAGAAAAGCTGACCCAAATAGACCCAATTGTGCCAATCGAGCTTATAGAACTTATAAACTACTTATAAACTCAAAATAAGTGATGCCAAACAGGCACGAAGAAGAAGAAGAAGGAGATGTGATATAAATAAGACAGAAAATAGAAAGAGAGAGAGAAAGATAACAACCCGATGCCTCTGGTTCCACGGGTAACAAGAGCCGTCATGCCCTGAAGAGGCCACCTGCTGCTCATATTTGCCTGTGTCATTTCTCTCTCTTTCTCTTTACTCTTTTGCAACTGAACTTTTTAATAAGATCATATGAGTGATCCTTAATTAATTATGAGTGGTATATAATATAATGCACAGTGGCGTGGCCCGTGCGTGAGAGAAAATGATAGGAAATAAGTAAAATTATTATAAAATAGTTTTTATTATAAATAGTTTTAAGGAAGGAATATAATTACAACAAAATAGCATACAGTGAGAAGTGACAATTTTTTACTCGTTATTCGCACTTTTTGGTAATTAATTTTTTTTTGGAACATCATAATAATTCTTCCTAACAAAATATTTTGATACAACGCATGTGAGAAAATAAAAGAAACTTATTCCAGTGATGAAAAATTTGAGAAGTCAAAAGTGGTGAAATAATGAACTGTGTCAAATTCTAGGCCTGACATGAGTAGTACATAAAAGAAAATTATTCATATAAGTAAATAATTACTAATACGTCTGGTCTAAATCAAATTCGATAGTAATTAACCCCTTTTTCTTTGACCTCAACCCTTAGTTTTGACCAGTTGAGAAGACAGTTGAGAATCAAGAAATAATATTGCAACTTGCAAAATTCAAAATAAGAATATATAATTGTGAACCAATAGGCGTTGATTTTAATAGAAAAAGTTTTGGCAACTTAAATACAAAGTCTTGAGTTCGAGTTTAAGTTCGTGTAAATATAAAAAAAAAAATTAAAAGAATTATCCCTTGTCCCTTATTAGGGACTACACTAAAATCTGACTCAATCAACTCAGCCCTGTAAAAAAAAAAAAAAAAAAAAAATTCTACAACTTCGGCAATGCAATAATCATAGAGCTAGCAAAAGGATGAGCTCATACGTGCAGTGTTTCCCAACACTTCCAACAAAAAATAACAAAAATGAATCTCCGTTGTATTGCTGGCACCTGTGTCTTTACGTGGTCTTCTTTCACAAAAGACAATCACAAGTGATAACATGTGACTCCTCATTTTGAAAAGCCAATTTTTTTTTTTTGGCCAAAGAAAAGTCAATTTCAGTCCTTCGCTTTTATTATTTGTTTTGCCTTTGTCTTATTACATCATCATTACCTGTGACAGGATGTATCTGTCGCATTTTGGCACCTGTTCTTGTTAGTTTTGTGGTAAAAGACTTGTCCGCTGATATTTTTGGGAGAGCATCCAAATTATTGAAAGGACTCGTATCTTCAAGGTTTTTATAGGAGTTAATATAATATTTGGTGTCTTTTGATCTTTTAAGAGGCAAAATGGTTCGGTTTTATATTAGATTATACGAACTAATAATTTAAATGAAAAAAAATTTGAGGGACCAAAACTTATGGTTTAAAACTTGAGGGATTAAAATCAAAATGAAAACAAATTTAAAGGACCAAAAATTATATTAACCTATTTAATGAATGCAAAAATTAATGTTAAATGAAACTAATTTCTCATTTTTTAAGAAAAAAACCCACTCTCTTATAAGATGAACTTAGATTCTTTATTTCAATCACACTATAGAGTATCCTCATATAATTTTTTTGTAGATTTAATCATAATGTTTTAAAATTCAATTAAAAATGTAAAAATATAAGGTGAATACTAATCAAAGGATTAAAATGTAAATTTTTTTTACTTTATTTAACAATTCTTTAAAATTAAAACACTTGGAGATAGATAATAATGACGTTAAAATATAAAACATGATAAGTCACAAAAATGTTCAATTATTATCTATAATATTTATGCTATTGAAATATTTTCAGCCATACCAATTAACATAATAATTATAACAATTGGCTGGTTTTTATTTAAAAAAAATTGGGTGGTCAAGAAAAAAATTTATTAAGAAAAATTAATGACCTTTTTTAATTATAAAGATGGTCGATATATAAATTCATTGTAATTAATAGTCTCTTACGCAATCTAATGCAATAGCTTTTTGAAATTAGAAGTACTTTAGTACCTTTATTAAAGGTTACGTAATGTTTGATGAACTTTTGATATAAATTCATGAGATTTTTTGACCCTTAATTTTTTTTTGATTTAATTGGGGGCATTTTGTACTTTTATTAAAAAGTTATGGGTCCTACTGCTAAAAAAAGGGTGTTGGACATGTATGAGAACAAAAAAATTTCACGGTGTTGAATGAAATTTTGATATATTTTTATGAGTATGTTTGATTCTTAATCTGTTAAACTTTAATTCAATTTCTTAAACAAGATGTATTTTCAGTTTTTAAGAAATTACATCGCCACCAGAGCCATTCATCTAGGCATGGGCAACTCGGTCAGGAGGCTGATGAACCCCGACGAAGCCTCTGTAGCTTGTGAGTCTGTTGCTTTATTGGCTTCGCAGTTTTATTTTCAGTTCTTAGTTAATATTAACACCATTCAAATTCTAAAAAACTAGATTTATTGGTAGACTTTAACTTTATTACTTTCTGTTTGATAAAGAATGGTCTCGAGTTTAAAATAACTTAGGGAAACTCTGAATTTATATAAAAAAAATATTAACACGTTTATTCTCATTAACAAAAAAGACATACTCAATAAATTTAAATGCTGATAAAGTATATTGAAAGATGAGTTGTTGATGTTAATAATCAGGCCTATCTTCATTAGGCTTTATTTTAAGTATTTCTCAATTTACAAATTTTAAATGAAACATTAATATTTTAATATTTAATTTCAAAGTTATCATTTAAATTTGTTGGATCAATATTATTTTTCATTAGGTATTAACATTAAGAGACTAAAAATACACTTTATAAATTTAAGAGACTAAATTAAAACTTGACGTAAATTTAGAAGAGTAGACGTATATATTAACCATAAAATTATTGGTATTGTAAAAGACTAAAAGTAAGCATTTTTATCAAAACACTAAGAGATTCTACCTGAATCCTATGTGAAAACCATACTTGGCAAAATGCTAACTGAAAATCATTCACACCAAAAATGATTTCAATTTCAGAAAAAACTCATTCTTGCTAAGTATAATTTTGCTTTCACTTTAATCTCTCTCCCCAGTTATATTACTACCTCCGGTCCTTAATATAACACCCTATTTGAATTTTATTTTGGTCCTAAATATAAGACCCCAATCCACTTTGTCTCTCATATTTATATATTTTATTCTAAAGTAGCCCTTTTAACAATGATAGTTCTAATTAGTACACTTGATTAACAAAGATATTTTAGGAAAACAATACCTATTTAGGACAAATAACTAACTCAACTTACTTCCTTAATCTCCCAAATTAGTCAACTGGCTCTTATAATTAGAACCAGAAGTAGTACTTTATTATTCTTCTGATGATTTTTTTTTAATAAAAAAGTAAAAATTTCGCTTTTTCTCTCAGTTCTCAATCTGATGCCCACAATGAATAGCACATAGCGCAATGGAGAATTGGTTTTTTCCTCCTTACTCCAATCCTTTACAGATGCATGTTTAATCTTTTTTTCACAAAAATGTTCTTGCTAACTATGCATTGCACTCAATTTTTCTAGTAATTCAATTTGATCTTGCAAAAAGATCTTGCAAAAATTATAGTTTACAGATGCATGTTTAATATTCGTAAATTTTTTATCTGATTCTTACATTAAGATTAGGAGGTAGTAATATTTTTGCTATCATTTTTTCAAGGTCAAATTAAGTTACTGCTAGAAAATTTCAGGCAACGAATGGTTAACAAAAAAACATTTTATACAAAAAAAGAACAATTTTAAGGTTAACTTATTAATTGACAATGCATAAATTAAACAGCACTGCATATATGGGAACAAGTTTATCCTATATCATAAAATCAAATTGAATTGCTACTATCTCAAATCTTTCCTTCATGTAAATTTAAAAGTAGAAGATATTACGTTATTTAATAGGATTAGGACCAGATTTATTTTTCCGCTCAGTTACAGTGTGATGTAATTATGCTTTATTATAATTATCATTTTTCATTGCTTTTTCCTAAAAAAAATTGTTACTATCATTTCTGCAAGATCAAATTGAATTACTAGAAAAATTGAAATGTATAGTTGAAAAGAACATTTTTATCAAAAAAAAAAAAATTGAATATGCATATGTATGAAGGGGATTGCAGTGAGGAGAAGATGAAAAACAATTTTCGATTGTCGTGCTGTTCGGTGCAGATGTCTTATTGGGAAAGTGAGAGGAAAAATGAAATCTCGTGACATGAACTATTTCACTTTTTCATTAAAAAAATATACTAGTTAGAGAATGATAAAGTGAAATCATGGGGGAGACACATTAAAGTGAGAGGGATATCGTTTAAAATAATTCTTGCCGTGAATAATTTTTAATATAGCATTTCGATAAATATTTTTTTACTGTGTAGGATTTTGGTAAAAAATTTTATTGTTTATAGTATTTTGATAAAAATGCCTATAAAAGTATAATAAATTTAATTGAGTTTCTTTTGTAAAAAATACAAGAATTAATTCACATGCATAGTCATAGGTATTTTTTCACTTGCGAAAAAAATATGGTGTTTGGCGTATGTAGCTATCTATCTATTAATATATAAAAGTAGAGTACAAAGTAGGACTTAACGAGAGACTGCCAAATGGCCTCACCAAGATGCAGATAAATATGTTTTCTTTTTCTTTTTTTGTAAAAACAAAAATTTTATGAACACCTCCCCTATCTATGCGTTCCTTATCTCATCATGATAAAATTTTGCAGTTATCTCTTATAATAAACATGGTAGTTATGTCATATTTTTCACCCATTTTCTACCCATGTTTCTAATGGGAGATAAATCTATTTTTTAATAATTTTTTGATTAATTCAATTGATTCTGAATTATTACGGAATTTATTGCAATTATCCCCAATAATAAGCCTTATTTTTCCTATTTTCTTTTAAAAAACCAAAATACCCTTTATTTGCAAATATTTGATATTCAATAAAAATAAATAAATTTATATAACTTCTCTAATCCCGAAAATCATGGCATGGCCATGATAATTTGAAATTAGTTTTAATTTGATAG